ACTGCGCTTCGAAAAGTTTGTACACTTCGCTTCGCTTCGTTTTTAGAGTCTTACAATTGTTGTTAGATACTTTATCCTAGATGTTTTGGGATGAGGGCCTGTGTCGGTCCTAACTTTTCATTAGAAAATTCAAAAGGGAATAGTAACATTGAAATATTCATTAGATTATCATTAAAATTCCATTATAATATATTTTCGTTGAAATTTTCATTGAAATTTCATCATTTTTCTTGTAGTAAAAGTAGGGTTGTAAATCAATAAAAAAAATTACGTTATATATAATATTGCGTGCAACTAATTATTATGAAAATTATTGATAATGATAGAATATATAACACATTTAATGTAATTTTCATTTAATTTATGATAATAAGGGGAAAAAGGGAGTCATTCCGGAACCTGGAGTTGGTCATCATCTTTCTTCAATAGATCCACTTTTGACAAATTAGCGTGATCAGCTTGACAGTCGAGTCGGAGATAGCCTTTAAAAGTAAGGAATGGCCGGATGCTTAAGAGATTGCTATTATACTTGTACAAAGAATCAGTCTTTTCTTTACTTTCCTGAAAGCGAATAGTCCTTACTTTGCTGACATGTTGTAAGGAAAGTGAAACATCATATTAATTCTTTTTCTATAACATGAGTTCATACCCGGAAAAACAAAGTCCGATCTACCCTGTGCCAATCACACATGGGAGCCTTCTCACCAACCATGGCTAAAGTTTTCCCGCGGGTCGCCGGAAACTCATAAACAGCATCCTTAGAATCATTCTGGAAGCTAATAAGATCTTTTTTCGATGAAAATGCTCATCGGAACACTTCCTCTTTGTCTTCTTAGAACTCTCTTCCCTTCTAGCCAAGGTTCGATATAATTGACCTAACGAACGAAGCGAAGCGAAGTTCAGTCATAAAAAGGAGTTTGATTTAAAGCAAAGGACAACGTCAGGAACCGCTCAGCAGTTGGTCAACTTACCCTAAATAGGCTTCAGAGTGGGATATAGAAACTGGCGCATCAAAGCGCCCCTCTGTCTATTAGAGGAAGCGGAATCCAATACGAATTAAGGTTGTTCAAATGATGGCCAATTGAATTAATAGTCCTGATCCCCTACCCCTCTGGAGGTGCACACCCGCCGGGAATAGTGAAATTCTATGACTTCACTTCGCTTCGAAAAGTTCGTTGGGGAAGAAGCGGCCGGGGTAGAGGAATTGGACCCTTTGATATTATAGGAAAGGTTTGAAGATGCTCGACTTACAAGGTACAAACTTTTCGAAGCGATCAATAAATTAAAAAAGTTATAAAATCAGTTGGAGCAGACTAAGGGAAAATATAAACATATTCAAGAAACATTTATTTTAACTAGAACTTTTAAGCACATAAAAAATATATATTTTTGGCATTAAAAATTTGGTTTGGTAGTGTTAGTTTTTTTAGTTACAAATTTAATTATTGTCTGTCATTAAAATTTTTAATTTTGAAATACTTAATATTTATTTATTTCTTACCCTTTTTATACTTAAAAAGGAACACCATAATGGTTGCAACATATATAACATATATTTTCAATGTATACGAAAATGAGTTCATTACTTAATATTTTATCAAACAATGGAAAAATATAAACATTTTAATCTTATAACCAGTATAAAAATACATTTTTGTCAAATATATTATTATTAGAAATAAATAAGTAATATTAAATAGTATTTATCGTATTTGATTATATTAGTTGTAGCCTAATAAATAAGATACTTTGATTACAACATCATTATTTAAAGTAAGTACAAAAAAATGACGCAATACATATAAATGTGCTCTAATTCTTTTAACAAAAAAGTATTATTTGTAAATAGAATAAGAAACAAATAATACCAATATCTAGAAGTTTGAATTTTCTTATGAATACCAATATCTAGAAACAAAAGTCTTTTAAAATTACTACCTTTTTTCGTTAGTGTCTAAATATATGAACTCTGTAAGAAATTTGTTTTCAAAAATAATGATCGTATATTATCAAGAATTTTAAATAATTTAAAAAATAAAAACTTTGTAATACATAACTTGAATTTTAATAATAACTTGGTAATAATAAAGTTCACAGAGCGGCTAAAAGTACTATAATATAATAGAATTCTAATTATTCTCTTCCCAAATATTTTAACAAATGATTTTTTTTTTTGTATTAAAAAAAATCTTTATCTTGAACTTTCGAAGCATTATGTATAATACGAAAAAATTGGACAATAAAATCATTAAAGAAGTTATTAGACACATAAGTACTGCAAATTCGAACGAATGTGAAAGATATTATATATGATAAACAACGCTAAAATCATTGCACCAACCAAGAATCAATGATTTGCAAACTATATATTATATAGTTTGTTTGTATTCTAAATAAATAACATTGAAAAGAAAATGTCGAAGTCGATCAAAACATTCTTGACTGTTTGAATGAAATTGTCCCATTTTTATAGGAATATTTACAATCTCATTGTGTATTTTTCTCGAACATATGTGCAATTATTACAGTACGTACTTCATGTAATGTGATGTCAAAAAGTAATTTATGGGTATGGACATAGTAATGAAGTTGTTTATACAATGATAAAAAAATATCAACAATATAATGATACGGTTGGTTATTTTACAAATATATTCATGAACTGTTAGTAGAAATACGTTATAAAGATCATACAATCATGAAATTTGACTATATGTTTGGCCAATATATTTATAAGTGTTTGAATAAAGTAGACGTTTTGCCAAATGAATTAAGACAATTTGCAGTACTATTGATGTATTGAGCTCCAATGAGTATGAATGTTTCTTATGAAAACGTCAAAACAAAAATGAAAGAAAATCACTCTCTAATTATTTAACATAATTAAATAAAATAACTAATGCATCTATAATATACATTAGGTTCTTAATTAGTTATTTAGTGTTTTTTTCCATTAGGGACTGTATTTTTCTTGGGGTTTTAATATGTTATTTAATAAATTAATTAATTAATTTTACTAAATTTAATCGGTAAAAGACATTCATCACCACGTGCGATGCACGTGCACTTGTAATATTGTAAAGTTTAGATAACTATCATATTTTGTTTGGTTGTAATATCACGTTTATATTATATCTTTTATGACTTAAATTCTCATGAAGTTTGATTATATGTTTGGCTAAAATATTTGTAAGTATTGAATAAAATAGACGTTTCGCCAAATTAATTAAAAAGAAGTTTGCAATATTATTGATGTATTGAGCTCCAACGAGTATGAATGTTTCTTATGAGAACGTCAAAATCAAAATGAAAGAAAACCACTCTTGAATCTAACATAAATAAATAAAAGAAAACATGCATCTATGATATACATTAGATCCATATTTAATTATTTAATGATTTTTTATTAGAGACTCATTTTTCATATATTTTTGTTGGGGTTGTAACATGTTATTTTTATTTTTTACAAAAAATACATTAAGAGTTCATTTGTTCTACATTTCATTTTGTTCCTGCAATGATATGTTTAATAAATTAATTAATTTGTCTTACTATATAATTGGCAAAAAACATTTGTTACTACGTGCATCGCACGTGCACTTTACTAGTGTAAAAAAATATTGAACTTGGATATAAGATATTTAGAAAAATCTTATATAAGTATAAAATATCAATTTTCGTTAAATTTGTAATTTTGCTTTTTGCTTTTTTTAAGATATTTAGAAAAAACTTACTTATGTAAGTTTGTAAGTAGATTTATAGAAGTGGCTCAGAATTTTGGTGGAGTAAAAATGAGGAAGGGAAAAACAGAATTCATTAGGCTAATTGGAATAAGATTGCAAAACCTAAAAAGGAAGGATATATGTTAGGGTTTAGAAATATTTCATTGTTCAATAAAGCATTAATAGTAATGCAGTTGTGGATAAATATGAAGATTTCCCCTAAGAGCATCGACTCTTGGTTGGGTGCTAGAGTGTCACTAAGGCTGGGGGTTAGTACTATTGATGTTTGAGACTCTACTTGGATACCAAAAAACCCAAGTTTCACTCCAGTTTGTCAGTTTGAAGAGGATAGGAATCAAGTAAGAAGAGAGAATTAATTCTAAATAAGGGTTGATTGAACAAACTTTTTGCCTTAGCTAGAGATGCTGAATTAATTCAAAATATTTATATTAGAAAGAGAGAGTTCACATGACACACTGATTTGGCATTTCAATCATAAAGGGATTTTTTTCCGTGAAATCAATTTATAATTTATTGACTGCTAACCAGGAAAGATCTCAGGAAGGTGCTGAAACAACTAAACAAAAAGGTAAAATCAAGAAGGTCGGGAGGAAAACATGGGCACTGACTATCAAAAACAAGATTAAAAAAATTCCCTAGAGTTGTTGGCATAGTTTTTCGGATACTCAGGTTGCGGGGATGAAGATAGACAACATTTGCAGTTGTTGTGGTAAACACTAAGAGCATATTTTATTTTTATGTAACACAGCAAAAATTGGTTTGGAATATTATATTATTCATATACCACAATAACTTTATCATTATATTTTACATTAGCAATATTAAATTTTCCACATATTTTTAAAATTATTTTTTTTTATCTTTTTAATCTCACTTTTTCAGCAAGACAACATTAGATATACTTTTTTTTTTTTTCAATTATGTTCCGATTCAAATTGAGATAAAATTATAATTGCCAACTAATATAAGAAAAAAATATATAATTATTAAAATTAATTTATTAAAAAAATTATTTATATGAATTGATATTGATTGAAAAGAATAAGATTGGAGAGACAATGTTTTCTATTAAATAATTGATAATACTTTATTTTTTATTTATTGTTGAATTAGTGAACTTTATAAAAAAAATTGAGAGAAAAATATTTATATGTTAATAATATAATTTTTAATTGACTAACAATAATTATATCCAATATAACCATATTTAAAATAAATCTACATCAATATAATAAAAATATAGATTGATCTATAACAATGGTCATTCATCCCAACTCACCCGAGTTTGGACCCAGAATCAAACCCGTTCAATTGGACAGCTGCTACAAATTGGGACCTCCCAAAAACGCATACCATTCCACTATCGCCCATCACAAAAATCCTCTGCAACTCAGAGCTTATAATCCCCGTTTTCTCGATCGGAATCCTAAGCTACAATCGGCAACTGATCCGTAAGTCTTTATCCGTAGCTTCTTTTTCCTCTCTTTCTACGGTTACGGCATACGAACTCATCAAGCATATGTTTATGTAGCTAATTTCCTCTCTTTCTCGATAGGGTTCTCGCTCTTCGTTAACTGAATCGATCGAATTTGGAAATCCCTGTCCAATGGGCTGCACCGTCCGAGAGAAACACATCCGAACAAATCGGAGGACCCGATCGGTAAAACCCGAACCCGATCATTCCGCCTCCGCTAACACCAACGGCAATGTCGATAAATCATCCAGCGGCAAAACCTGTCTGAAACCTAAAGGTTACCAGATGGGCCTCCAAGCCCTGTCCCAGAGCCCGATGACGGGCCCGAGCTCCACATTCGAAGATAACGGGTGGGGTTACTGCACCGAAGAGCAGCTGGAGGAAATTTTGCTTAAGAATTTGGAGTATCTCTATAACGATGCCATTAACAAGCTGGTGGCATTGGGCTACGATGAGGAGGTGGCATTGAGGGCGATTTTGAGGAATGGGCACTGTTATGGTGGGATGGACGTCCTCACAAACATCTTGCACAACTCCTTGGCCTATCTCAACAGTGGCAGCACCACTGGAGCCGACGATGAGCCCGAGCCCTCGTTTGCTGACCTAAGGCAGCTGGAGGAATACTCACTTGCCAGCATGGTTTGTTTATTGCAGCAGGTGAAGCCCCACCTGAGTAAAGGGGACGCCATGTGGTGCTTGCTGATGAGCGACCTCCATGTTGGCCGCGCTAGCGTGATGGAAATTCCGGTATTGCCCTCCCCCGGTGGAAGCACAGGCGGTGGTGAGGGAGCACCAACAGGTGGCGGCGGGCCCCATGAGGTAGTTGTTGGCAGTGGGGGCCCAGTTGGGGTGGCCCCTGCCTTGTGCAGGTTTCATGGCGGCTGGGGGTTTGGAAATGGCGGCACATCCGAGTATCCTGCAAATGGGATGAGCGGATTCTTATCGTATGCATCCGAAATGGCCCTTCAGAGGGAGATTGAGTGCCCGAAGAGGTTCAACCTCAGCCCATCCATGAAGAGTCTGCTCAAGAGGAACGTGGCCATGTTTGCTGCGGGTTTCCGAGCAAATGCGAAGCAGTTTCACGGCCAGTCACAGGCCTGCATGAGCTCCTTGTCCGGCGGGAGCTCATCCGGGCCCCTGCCAGCTGGCGAGGAGTCCCAGCACTCGAAAAATCAGGAAGTGGTGAACTCTGTCATGAGCAAATTCCGGGACCTGAACCTAGACGAGGCCACAGAGCACGTGGCCCTGGACCAGAAAGACGAAATGATCCTGAGCCTGGTCCACCAGATCAAGGACCTGGAGAAGCAGGTGAAAGAGCGCAAGGAGTGGGCCCACCAGAAGGCCATGCAGGCCGCCCGGAAGCTGAGCCACGACTTGACTGAGCTAAAGATGCTGAGGATGGAGAGGGAGGAGACTCAGCGGCTGAAGAAGGGGAAGCAGACGCTGGAGGAAACTACCATGAAGAGGCTGGGTGACATGGAAGGTGCCCTCAGGATGGCCAGTGGTCAGGTGGACCGTGCGAATGCTGCTGTTAGGAAGCTTGAGACGGAGAATGCGGAGATTAGGGCGGAGATGGAGGCGTCGAAATTGAGCGCATCCGAGTCGGTCACGACGTGTTTGGAGGTGGCCAAGAGGGAGAAGAAATGTCTCAAGAAGCTGCTGGCATGGGAAAAGCAGAAAGCCAAGGTGCAGGAGGAGATTGCAGCCGAGAAGCGGAGGATCACGGAGCTAGAGCGTGAGCTGGCTCAGGTGGAGGAAGACACCAAGGAAGCTGAGGTAATGTTGTTGTTGCCGGAGAAAGTTGTATGTGTGTGGTAGTTTGCCTTTTAGACTGCTGGTATGCGACAAATTTAAAATTCTTATATTTGATGACTCTTAATTTAGTGGTTTCGGATATAATGCTACTTTTGGTGAATTGTGGTGATGTGGCTGTGGTGGGAATACTTGTGGCATGTTCTGGACAAATATGGAGCAGTATTTGTGAACAAATCTGGGGCAAGTTGCACACATGCACAATTGTGCCCGTCGTACATTGTCAGTGTCAAAATATAAGCGTCAAAATATATGCTGCTAATGTATCTGAGATACAGCTTAACAATATTATTATACTTTATCGTATTGTTCTTCTATGGCCCCACTATCAACGAAGCAACTGGTCCTGTTTCCAATTGCTTAGGTGAACTGATGCGCAATTTGTGCACGAGTAAATTGGTGGATGTACAGTTATGACATGATATACTGTCAATGCAGCAAAGATGCTACTGGATTTTTCTTTTGCTAGAAACATTTATATTGTAGCTTAAGACTTAAAGGAAAGAACCAGTTATGAGTTACCTTGGAGTTTCCATTATGATCTGCAATTTCAGCCCTGTTTCCAACGTAACCTATTGGCTATGATCCAATTTAGAGGTTTACTTCTCCTATGCATTCTGGAAGTGTTTTTTAAATCCTTTCTTTTGCTTTTGTCTGTATGATTTGTTTTGGCTTTTAGTCAAACTTGGCAAAGGAGGTTATGCAACTTTTTTTAGGAGAAACTTTCATTAGGCTAGCTGATGAATTTGTTGGGGACTCCTTAAAGTCGCATATTACAAGTAATCACTTAAAGTGGTCTCATTAGTTTTTCTTGATAAGTTGTGCTATTAAGGTTCCACCCTGTCATATATGTTAACTTTCTACTCTCTCATTTTCCCTTTTTTTTGAAGTTGATGAGAATATGAATGTGCCTGTATACATCAATTCTGATTTCGTTATTATTTGTGCCCCTCAAGTTGCCTTCTTGTCATTAAATTATAGCAAAGATGTTAAGTGCTATGTTTAACTTTAGACGGTCAAATCTTCTGCTTTAAGTGGAGTGTTAAGAAACATCCCTATACTAGTTGGCTGTATCCTTTTTGTCTCTGTCGTGGCTGTAGATGTGGACTCTTCCAACTCAGCATATTTATTGTCCCTGCATAATTAATCTGCTATATTATCACATTAAAGACTGTCATGGCATTTCTTTGTTCCACAGAAATCTTCATGTCATCATGTGTGTAGAGAAAGCTTTTTAGGCTTGAAAATGGTTAATAAAACTAGACCCCTCGTGTTCAATCAACGCTTACATACAATCTTGTGCGGCCTATTTTTCTTTATTAACTGGCATTATAGTTCTAGCTTCTTTCTTTCACTTTCAATATTCATTCATCATTCATATTATCTTCCTCACGACAGTTTCACCTTAAGTTGGTTATATAATCTTCAGCTACTGAAATTGCATATTTGCTCTCTTTTCTTGGAATAATAGCCGGTTTATCAGAGGGTATTTGTAATGCGTTGTTACCAGAGCTTACAGCCGCTTATATTATTAGTTGTCTTTAATTATAAGTAATTATTTTGGCTTTTTAGGCTCACAGGGTTGGGGATACCACTTTAGGGTTAAGGTATAATCTCAAGTCCTTACTACTGTTTTGTAGAGAACGCTTTAGAATTAATTATGTGTTGTGGCTATTAGCTGGGTGGGAAATTTCTCCCGGAAAAGTATACATTTTTAGGCAGAATCTGCATGCCAAATTCATGAAGTTGACATATTTTGTTTCTTTCACGATTATGATATTTTTTTCTATCATCAAACTCTCAATCCACTTCGTATTATTAAAATGACTTCCAAGTTTTCTGAATCTCATTCCTTCGACATATATTATGAACTTATTGAAGTTTGTAGATAATTTTGTGTNNNNAACTCCCTCCTATGAAAGGCCAAGTGGAGACAGGAGCAAAAGGCCAGAGAACTAGCACTCGCGCAAGTAGAAGAAGAAAAGCGCCTCAAAGAAGTCTCGGAAGCCAACAACAAGAGGAAACTGGAGGCTCTCCGCCTCAAAATCGAGATCGACTTCCAAAGACACAAAGACGACCTCCAACGTCTCGAACAAGAGTACGCCCGTCTCAAGGAATCTGCTCAATCTGAGGTCGAGAATCAATCGATCAACAACTCTTGGACAGAGAATGTGAAACCCGCGAAAGGTGGTGAAACCATAGCTAGGCTTCTGCACGAGCTTGACCAGACCCAAGAAGAAAAGTCGTCCAGCTGTGATCGTGATTGCATGATCTGCATGAAAGATGAGGTCTCGGTTGTTTTCCTTCCTTGTGCTCATCAGGTCATATGTGCCAGCTGTAACGAAGGCTATGGCAAGAGAGGGAACAAAGCTGCTTGTCCATATTGCAGGGTCCCGATTGAACAGCGGATTAGGGTTTATGGAGCTAGCTCGTGATCTGGAAAGAAGTGCGCTTTCCTTCTTGCCCTGATTTTGTGTATAAATAAATATTTTACCGGCGAACCACCTGCTTGTTGCTCTACATAATATTTACTTTTTATTGCCCCACATATACTTTAATTTAAGGATGTTTTTGTTTATGGGGGGCTATATAAACTGTTATGAGCTTTGGAATAAGCAGAATATAGATACATGTTTTGCGACTTTGTACGCGGGTGTTGACTGTTTATGGCTTTATGCGCTATTTGGGAGTTGAATATCAGTTTTGATTATTTGTTTTTTTGTTGATGATATCATGTGACCATAGTTCTCAGGACTTGGAAATGTTTTTCTGTATTTGAAGCGATGTTGCTGCTGGTCCTACAGCCGAGTAGTCCGATTGTAGAAGCCTGTGTGGTACAATCATAGTGAGTCCTTGACGGGTAAAAGCTTATTACTAAGCATGACTTTGTCATGAAATTTTAAAGCTTGAATATGCTTTTGGCTTTGTTGCCTATTAGTTTATAGGGATAGCTAATAGCGAATTCGATTTGACTAATGGATTGTATTTGCGTTGTTTGGTAGGTAGTTATTTATTCTACAAATCATTCTTTCTGAAAATGCTTCTATATTGAACTTCTTAAAAAAAAATTAGTGTTTTATGCTAAAACGTTAATCAAATAAGTTATCTACCTAATAAATTAGTTAGCGAATTTAATGGATCAAACTGTTAATTGAGGTTTTAATTACTAATTCAACACCCATCTGTTTGACAGATGCATTGAGTTATTTTTTTTTTATCAAACATCAAATATATTAGATAAGAACTCAAATGTACAAACACAGTACGAGCAGCCAAAAGGCTACAGCATATCTCGGTTAAAGTTTAAACTATGGTTGTCAGAATCAATCTCTGTCACTTGACTAGTTTGTTCCATTCTAAACCGGGTCCGGTTGCTGATGAATCAGTTGTTGACCGGTCAAACACATGAAAATCGATCAATATTTGTCAAAAATCCGTTGGTCAGACCTGTTTGTTTTTATAAATAATTTTATTTTAACAAAGTTAAATATATTTTTAAACATAAGCAAAAAAATATGTATTTGAATATATTGAATCTGAATATATAATTATATATGACTTTAGATATTTTCAAAAATAATCCAGATATTTACTTAATAAAGTTTGTAGATAAAATTTATTATTTAAATCTTACATAATATTTAAAACTTATTATGAAATTAAACCCATCAATTATTTTATCAATAAACAATTGAATCTATAATTTCACCCGTTCTCAAACTTAGTTAAACCTAAAAAAATGAAGCCTGGACATAGACATCATAACTCATTCTATTCTAGCAACAACCCAAGAAGGTTCGACTCATGTTGCTGCTTACACGGAGATTTTATCGGATATCACACTCTTTAAACACATATTCATAAGGATGTGCCGATTGTTTAAACTCGTGGGTGGCAATAAAATTTTTCCTGGTTCTCAAAGAACATGAGCCATTGAGTATATGCATTTGGTCGGGTAATACGGTCTGGTGCATAATAATTGTGAATTCAACCTTTTTTCTTTGTTATTTCAAAAGTCAAACAAGATTATCCATTTAAACGTTTGACCTTATTTAGGTTACTTGCAAAACCCAGCTACAATGATTAATAATAATAATAATAATAATAATAATAATAATAATAATAATAATAATAATAAATCTTACTTCGTCCTATTTTTATTATTTATCATTCTGGTTTAATTGATCATTGATTAAATAAATGTCTTTTGACTATTTTGTTCATATTTTTCTATTTTAACCCTCCATCTTATACACAGTGTCTTCATATATCATCTCCATGATTTCTCATAACATCCATTAAATAGGGTTAATATTGACAAAAAAAATTCTTAATCGGCGTGTTAACTTTTCAAAATGACAAATAATAAAAATAGGAGGGAGTACTTGCCAAGCAAGGTGTTCTCCAAGTCATATGTTGATTTTAAAAAATAAAAAATTAACAATAACCAAACAGTTTTTAGTACTTACTTTTGTCACAAGCGTTCGTTCGTCAAACTTATTTTTCTTTCACAATTTTCAGTGTCTCATTAACAATTTCAAATCTGATTAAAAGAAAAAGAAAAAAAGGAAAATTTCAACTTCGTGACGACTTTAAAATGCAAAAATTTTCTTAATAAAATGCAGAAAAAGTTTACGTAAGATTTTTTATTGCTCAGTATCTTTAAATTTTTTAATTTCTTCCTGTTCTTGACTTTTAGAAAATGATAGTTTTTCTTTCTTCTTTTTTTGCCAATACTTGATTTTGATTGAGTTGCTTTTATGTATATCCAAAACAACCAAAATAGCATTGACAAATAGGGACACTTCTTATTAAATCCCTACTCCCTTTTCTATCTTCCTTTTCAGTCCCTCCTCTAAATAAATCCCTTTTCACTCCCTACCCCTCTATAACTCTTCCTTTTAACTCCCTCTTCTTAAAATAAATCTAAATAAAATTAAGTTATGACATCACCCCACTACCAAACTAACTTTACATATTATTTTATTATTTCTCTCTCTTTCCATTACAATCTTTGTTACTTTTTTATTAGTTTCTCTCTCTCTTTCCATATATTTGTTTATTATTTTCTTTTTATCATCTTTTATTATTTATCTCTCATAATACTAATTTTTATTCATTAATATAAATTTATTTTTGTATATACTATCCAAATAAAAAAAATATATATTTTACTAATATTTATTTCATATAAATCTGTATTATACTAAATTTATAAATCTATATTTTTGTCGTTCAAATTTATCAACAAATTCTCTAAAATTAAATTATAAATTTGAAATTTTTGCAAAAAATATTTATTCAAATATCTATCTAATTTTCAAGAGGAATAAATATCAACTAGTACGATACTCATGTACAACACGGGTACGTATATATATTAATATTTGTACAATAGAAAAACTAAAATAAATTATTTTTATATTGTAAAATTATGTATAATGAATAAAAAAAATAATGAATAACTAACAAAGTAATAGTTAATTCAAAATGGAGTTCGTATTTTTGCACTTAATTTTCTTATATTATTTAAAATCTATGAAAAAATGCATTAAAATGATTATTTTATGGTGTATTACTGAATTAATTTTATATTATTATAAAATAAGTTATATTGTATTTATATTTTTGAATTTTTTTTTAAATTTAGTTTTATTATAAGGATCGATATAATTATTTTTTTTTTCGTATTTGCAATATGGATGTCAAATCGAAAATCGTTAAAATATAATTATTTTGAGATATAATATACAAAAATAAAATACAAATAAAAAATTTTATATGTAAAACTAAAAAGAATACATATTTATAACAATTATTATATAACTTAAATAATAAAAAGTAAAAGTAGTATATGGTAACTTAAGAAAAAAGAAAACCTAAAATAGTTTATGGTAATTTCAAGCCTAAAACATGTACATGCGTCATTACAAAGTATATAATTATGCCAAATAAGCTTCTGAAGTATATGAGCCTACTACTTAGGCTCGGCGCATTCGAAAATTATATATAGGGTCAATTTATAAAATTATCATCAATATCTTATGACAAATTATTATAGGAATATGCTAAAAATTGAGAATCTTATCACCCTGGTTTATAACAAATCAACATAAAATTCGGCTTTCATACTCATACCAAAATAAAATTCATACCACTTATTTAATTTTCAAAACTAAGCACACTTATATCGATACCAAATGAAATTCATACCATTTAAATTCGGAAATTTCATGCCAAAATAAAACTGCATTCATTTTATTCATCATAATACTCAACTATTACCTTATTCTAAAATTTAGTTTCATATAATATAATTAAAATAATTTTTTAAATTAATCACCCAATTTATTATTATATTTTGATATTTCTAACAAACAAAATTTATACTCTAATAGCTTACGCAACATGAATTTATATTTACACTATGTAGTAAGGACCAAAACGCGAGAATTACGTTATAGACATTTTAAAACACTAAAAAGAATACAGTTTCAATATGAATGGTCGTATAAATTAGTACCGATTTCTGTTCGACATATCAATGAGTATAAATTAGTACTAGTTTAGTTAATTATAAAAGTACTCATTATGAAAGTCGACATATTTTTATATGGATTATGGTCGTATTAAAAAAAAGTCGACATATGTTTATATGAATTACGTTAATTTGTTCAGTTTTAAGGAAGTTATGTTTTCAAGTTTTAAACTGATACCAGTTTCTATTTATAGTAGTACCACTTTTCTTCTAATCATTACCTATTTTAAATCAATTAGTACCTACTTTGGTCAACGAAAAATGTAAAATTGAAGTAAACCATTTTTTGTTCTTTCTTCAAAGTAGATACTAATTGATCAAGAACTGGTACTGCATAGAAGAAAGTGTGGTACTATTATCGGTAAAATTGGTACCAATTTACGAAATCTTTTTTTTATGTTCGTCGGAGTTCGTACTGAAAACTCGATATCTGGCACTAGAACAACATAATCGCGGTACTATCTTACTTTAGGTCTGGTACTAATATTGCAAATGTTGACCAAAATTGAAGTAATCCATTTTTTGTTCTTTGTACAAAATAGGTACCAATTCATTAATAACTGGTACTACATAGAAGAAAAAGTGGTACTATTATCGGTAAAACTGGTATCAATTTACTAATCGTGATTTCATTAATCCGTCATGTCCACCATGCCACGTGGATCATTTAGGCGTGATTTAGTTGAAAAGTAGTGGAAGTTAAAACATATAGGTAGAATTTGGAGTAGTCATGTATGATAATTCAATGAAATGAAGTGTGTCTTTTAACGAGATAAAGTGTATTAGTAATGTTTTTTCATTAGTGTTGAGTTCGTGACCAATTTGCGATTAAACTTATTTAAACACAATTTAAATCTCATAGAAACTAATGTGAAAGTGATAATAGGTCATATAAACATCATTTGGTATCAAATGTCAAAAATTTATGGGTATATAAGAACGTAAAACCAGGTACTAAAATACTGAAAACAGGTATCAAATTTCAAAAATTTACTTGCTTAGATCATTCCCTTCGTTTTTTTTTTCTTTCAGCAGAGTTGGTACAACTTTTCACACAAATAGGTACTACTTTTCACATACGTCGGTACTAAAATACTGAAAACAGGTATCAAATGTCAAAAATTTACTTGCTTAGATCATTCCCTTCGTTTTTTTTC